GGCGCACGGCCGGCAAGAGGCCCAGATTGCGGGGGTCGGCCGCCCGGGCCAGGGGGTTCTCCTCGAAGCACCAGGCGGCCTGGAAGCGGGGGGTGTCGGCGGCTGGCTCCCGCGACTTGGAGCGCTGCCGGGCGCCGTCCTTGGAGAACTGGATGCTGGGGATCTCACCCTTCAGGAGGGCCGCGCCGCGCCGGCCCTGCGGGGAGGGGCTGCGGCTGGCACCCTGGTCCCGGCTGGAGGAGCGCAGCATCAGGCCCTGGAATTTGGCCAGGCTGGGGCTGCGGCTGCGATGGCGCTTCGACTTGGCCGGGCTGGGGCTGCGGGATTTCGAACCCAGGAGCCCCAGCGTGCTGTTGTCCTCGTCCTCAGAGCTGGGGCTCGAACTGTCCGTGGGGCTGGTGGCCTGCTCGGAGGAAGGCAGAGAAATCTAAAAAGGGGTGGGAGAGAGAGAGAGAGAGAGAATTTGGCCAGGCTGGGGCTGCGGCTGCGATGGCGCTTCGACTTGGCCGGGCTGGGGCTGCGGGATTTCGAACCCAGGAGCCCCAGCGTGCTGTTGTCCTCGTCCTCAGAGCTGGGGCTCGAACTGTCCGTGGGGCTGGTGGCCTGCTCGGAGGAAGGCAGAGAAATCTAAAAAGGGGTGGGAGAGAGAGAGAGAGAGAAGGCAATGTCAGGTCAGGGGAGGCAATGTCAGGGGGGAAATGCAAAATGATCCAGAAAGTCTGGAGCACTGGGCTGAAAAGAACAGAATGGAATTCAAGAGGGGCGAAGGCAAAGTCCTGCAACTGGGGGGGGGGCACAAGCAAACACACAGTGACAAGATGGGGGGGGACCTGGCTCAGCAAGACTATGAGCGAGAAGGAGCTTGGCATTGTTGTCGATCCCAAGCTTAAATGAGCCAACAGGGGGATGTGGCTGCAAAAAAGGCCAATGCGATTTTAGGCTTCATGAACAGATGGCCCCATGAAGTCCTTGTCCTCCTCTTGAGTGCTGTGTCCCATTTGGGATGCCATACTTGAAGAAGGAGGCCAAGCAACCCGAGCAAGTTCAGAGGAGGGCAACGTGGAAGATCAGGGGGCTGGAAACCAAGCCTTAGGAGGAAAGACGGAAAGAACTGGGCACGCTTAGCCTTGAGAAAAGAAGATGGAGGGGAGAGAGGAGAGCACTCTTCAAAGACTTGAAAGGCTGTCCTCTAGAGGAGGAACAGGATCTGTCCTCGATGATCCCAGAGAGCAGGACACACAACCAGGGGCTCAAGGGACAGGAAGCCAGATTAAGGCTGAATATCAGGAAAAGCTTCTTAACTGTTAGAGCAGTACGACAACAGAACCCAAGACCTCGTTGAGCACGCAATGCGAGAAGCCTTCAAGAAAAAAATGGGACACCACCTGTCAGATCTGCTTTGGTTTCGATTCATGCCTTGAGCAGGGGGGTTGGACTGGATGGCCTTAGAGGACCCTTCCGACTCCACCATTCTGTAACTCTATGACATAAAGTCTGTCCAGGATACTTTGGTTGTGCATTTTCTATGGCCGCAGGGAGTTAGACCAGATGATCTTTGGAGGTTTTTGCTAACTTTATGGTTCTATGGCCTAACGCGCTCCGGCTCAATAATTCGCAAAAGGCCAAGGCACATCTCGGTTGCTCCAACAGCTAGGGGGAGAGGGACCCAGAAATGCAACACAGGCACACTCTTGCCCCTTATCAATTACCTACAATTAGCCCTGGCCAATCAATGCAAACTTTACGTGGACACCCACAGGATTTGGGGCTGAAAGGACCCCCTTTCATCTCTCACACCATCCACCGGGCATTGGAGGGTGTAAACTGAGACAGCGTAGGGCGAAAGAAGGACATTTTTATTCAACTAG